GGCATCCTCCCTTTCTGAAGACCACCATGTCCCACAGGCTCATCTCGCCCTCCCGCCATGGCATCGCCAGACAGAGCCAGTGGCGTGGGTGGCAGTCCCGAGGAGACGGAGCTCAGCATCACCCTGACCCTGCGCATGCTCATGCACGGCAAGGTAATGGCAGGGGGCTCAGTGCCACTGGGGGGTCAGCGATGCCTGGGGTGAGGGGCCGTGCTGGAGCTCCAGCACCTCACCATGCCCTGTTTTCTTCCCCTGCTCCCAGTCTCCTCTGGGAATAGCATTCCCAGAAGGATTTCTTTCCCCATCCTAAGCTAGGGAGGGGTACATTCCCATGCCCTAGTGTCACTAGTTAAGTCACCCAGTGTCCCAGGGACAGGGTATGTCTGTTGCCAGGCTGGGGGCACAGGAGGGATGTGGGAGGCAGAGAGCCACCTCCTTACAGTGCCACTTTTCTATGCCCTTGCAGGAGATCGGCAGCATCATTGGCAAGGTAAGATTTGGGGTCCTGTGTGTTGCCAGCACTTGGCTCCCCTGGACCTGACCACCCACCCTGTTCCTTTACCTGCAGAAAGGAGAGACTGTTAAGAGGATACGAGAGCAGGTAAGGGCATGCTGGTGGGCTGCCAGGTCCTGCTGCCTGTCATGCGTGTTTCTGGTGGCTCCCTTGTGCCTGACCCCCTAAATCCCAGGTGGAACCAGGGAAAACAAAGCAGCACCCCAGGGAAGGCTGCCATGGGGAGGTGGGAGGGGCAAGGCTCAGGCTCGAAGGCATTAATCCCCCTATGAGGCTATCTCTGGGGGAAGTCATGAAGCACAGGGCTTGTGACATCCCTAACGGGGTGTGACACTGTCCCCAGAGCAGTGCACGCATCACTATCTCGGAAGGGTCCTGCCCCGAGCGCATCACCACGATCACCGGCTCCACCGATGCCGTCTTCCGTGCTGTCTCCATGATCGCCTTCAAGCTGGAGGAGGTAGACAGCCCTCCTAAATCCCCCCAGATTCCCCCACACCTGCGGGATCCTGGGGAGTCTGACGCTTCATCCCACATCCCTCACAGGACCTGGGAGCAGGGGGCGATGGGGTATCAGCAAGCAGAGCACCCGTGACCCTGCGCCTCGTCATCCCTGCCAGCCAGTGCGGTTCCCTCATCGGCAAGGCAGGAACTAAGATCCGGGAGATCCGGGAGGTGAGGCTGAGGGTAGCTTGGACGTGGGATCCCCTTTTCACCCTGGGGGCACAGAGCCCTGGGTGTGGGGGCTGCCACAGTCCTGCAGGTGCTGGGAGAGGTGATGCAGGAGAGGGATCATCACCCTGTAGGTCCTGTAATGCTCCCTGGGGGCCCAGGAGGGGGACAGGGGAGGTGTGAGGTGCTGAGCCCTGGCAGGGAGTGGTTGGGTAATGCCAGCATCTCTCTTTGCTTCCTGCAGAGCACGGGAGCACAGGTGCAGGTGGCTGGTGACTTGCTGCCCAACTCCACTGAACGGGCTGTCACTGTCTCAGGGGTGCCAGACACCATCATCCAGTGCGTGAGGCAGATCTGCGCTGTCATCCTGGAGGTACCTGCCAAGCCCCATGCCCAGCCCAGGGGGAATCTGCTACCCACCTCTCCCTCCCCAAGGCTTCCCATGCCCGTCTGGACCCAAACGCCAGGGCCTCCCTGTGTGGAAACCCATAGGAGCACACCCTGCCTTTGTAGTTCTGGGGGCTGTGCCCAGCTTGCTGGGGGCATAAGGGGCAGAGGGTCCTTGGGGCTACAGGGGCATTCAGCTTCATCTCTCACCTCCTCCACCTCCTTCCTTCTGTCTCCAGTCGCCTCCGAAGGGGGCCACCATACCCTACCACCCTGGTCTCTCCCTGGGCACCATCCTGCTCTCTGCAAATCAGGTAAGAGGCCACAGCATCTCTGAGGGAATGAAGTGGCCAGGAGGGCAGCCTCTGCCAGCAAGGGGCAACTCTGGTGGGCTCAGGGTAGTCTCTCTTCCCCAGCGGGGAGTGACCTGAGACATTGGTCCCCACCTGGCTCCCCATTAATGCCCCTGTTTTCTCTTCCCAGGGCTTCTCCATGCAGGGCCAGTACAGCGGGGTCTCTCCTGCAGAGGTGAGTCTGTCCCTGTGGCAATGGGGTTTGTGCCCACCAGGATGCGTGCTGCTGGGAATGCCTGTCTTGGGAGGCACTGGGGCACAGCTGACCTCTGCCATCACCCCTAACACCACCTTCCTCCTCTTCACACTGTCTGGGCAGGTGACGAAGCTGCAGCAGCTGTCAGGGCATGCACTTCCCTTTGGCCCCCTGGGCCATGCACCCACCATGATGCCAGGTGAGCATCTTCCATGCTCCCCCAAGGCTGGGTGTACTCCTCCTGATCCACCCTGGTACCTGACCCTGATGAAAGGGCTTCCCTCCTCTTTCCAGTCCCAGCCCGCCCAGCATGTCTACCTGCCCCTCCAGCACAGCCTTGTAATTGTTTTCCTGGGGTCACTGCACCCACCAGTGCTCTCCAATCCTGCAGTGAGAGAGCACCAGCACCAAATTATGATTTATCTCTATGTCCTGTCCTCCCTTCCTCTCCCCAGCAATCCTTCAGGTTTGTGTCCAGGACCACTCACTATCCTAGTATGGGGCTGGGATAGGGGCACAGAGCTATGGGAGACCTGCCCCTTCATTGCTGACACCCCTGTCTCTCTCTCCAGGCCTGGATGCCAGCTCCCAGAGCAGCTCCCAGGAGTTCCTGGTGCCCAATGACGTATGTATTGGTCTGGGAATGGTGAGGGAGACCACAGCTTGTCCCCACCCACGTGTACCATCCCAGAAGCACTTTGCAGAGGCAACCACTGACCCACGCAGTGGAGGCTCTGCCAGAGCTTAGAAGCAGGAGGGAGTAGCTGAGGCAGAAGAAAGGGAAAACTGAAACACAGGAGAGGGGGCAAGATTTTGGCCAATGCCAAGGAAAGGCCATAGCATGTGGCACAATGCCAGCAAGAGGGTCTTGAATGAGACCAAAAAGCAGGGTCTGCCCAAAGAAAGTGGTGTCCTGCCCTCCCAGTGCCTTGCACAGTTTCACCTCTGAGGTGTAGGGGGTGTCCGGGTGAGCCCCTGCTTGGCAAGGCTGCTCTGGCTGCTCCTGGCTCACCCCATCCCTGCCCTTTCAGCTCATTGGCTGCATCATCGGCCGGCACGGCAGCAAGATCAGCGAGATCAGGCAGATGTCGGGTGCCCACATCAAGATTGGTAACCAGACTGAGGGCTCCAGTGAGCGGCACGTGACCATCACAGGGACCCCTGTCAGCATCAGCCTGGCTCAGTACCTCATCACAGCCTGGTAGGTGTCAGCCTGATGGATGCTAGTGAGGGTGGCTCTTCTCCAGCACCCCAAAGTAGCTTTTGGAGGATACCCCCTACCACAGCATCCTCAGGAAGGATGATCTGAGTGGTGCTTTGAGATCCTGAGGTGGAAGGTGCAGAAGCCAAGACCCATCAGATTTGAGCCCCTGCTTTTTAATCCTGTTCAGTGGGATACATGTGCCAGAAGGGATGGGGTGCTCAGTTCCTGCACCCTATGGTTGTGCTGGGAGAACCAGTCTGTCACCATGGTACTCACGATCATCTTTCTCTCTTGCTTTCCCAGCTTAGAGACTGCTAAATCTACCTCCCAGGTGCCCCCAGGCCCTGGCTCCATGGACCTCGGCATGGGCTTCTCCCAGCCCCTCGCCCCAGGCTCTGGTGCAGCACTTCCCACTGTTGCCCCAGCCCCCCCAGCCCTCCTGGGCACCCCCTATGCCATCTCCCTCTCCAACTTCATCGGCATGAAACCAGTGTCATTCCTGGCACTGTCCCCATCCTCCGTAGCAGGTCCCAATGGTGGCACCACCACCTACACGACCAAGATCTCAGCAGCCAACGGCACCAAGAAAGCTGATCGGCAGAAGTTCTCACCCTACTGAGCCCCACTGGTGGGTGGGCCAGGGCGTCCAGGGTGCTACTCAGTAGCAGGGACACCTTCTCACCACCCACCCTGACCTCAGCCTCTGCCAGGTGCCCCATATCCCCCATCCCAGGGAAGGGTCTTCCTGGTGGTAATGCCTGCTGGAAGAAAGGGCTGTTTCACTGCCTGCTGCCCATCCCAGCAGCACTGTGGCCCCCTCCCTGATTTTCTGCACAGAGACCATGTGTCCTGGTATTGGGTGCAGGAAATGCCCCTGCAGGCCTAGGGTCCCTTTTCCCAATGCCCTGTGCTGGTGTGGGACCTCTGCTTCCTGCTCCTCACCCTGCCTCCCCTGTCATCCTGCTCATGCCCACACTCCATCTGGCACCCAAAAGCCAGGTCCCACTGGAGGAGGACTGCCTGGCCTCTCCAGGAGTCCCCCTTCCACTGGCTCTGATGGGGGGCCCTGCCTGGGCCACCCCAGGGGAATTGCCTCCCAGAACCCCATCCAAGAGCCAGTCCCTGCTGGCTTGGAAATGCTGTATATATATGAGTCTATATTTTTTCCTCCTTTGTAACTTATCAATGGTTTAATAAAAAGATAAAATTTACAAGAAAATTACAACAATAATAATAATATTTCCCACCCTGGGTGGAGACTTCCCACAGAGCAGGGGTGGCCTCAGCTCCTAGGTACTTGGGTGGTGGCTGGAAGGGCATCCCTGTGTCTAGGAGGGGAAGCTGGCCTTCAGCCCCATCTCTCTGGGAATCTTCCTGGAGCCCCTCCCTGCCACAGGGCAGTTAGAGAGGCCATAGGGCAGTTTTCCCTCAAGCCTGCAGTTACTACTGGAGTAGGGACATCTCCAACCCACCATGCCAACACCAGCCCTGGGACCTTTGTGGGCGGGGTGAGGGTGATGTACCCCTGCAGCATTACCCAAAAGGGTCCAGTCCCCTTCCTAGCAGTGAAGACCCCATAGGAGTGTCCCCAAGCCCTTCCCTTGAAGGGGAACAGAAGCTCCTGATCCCCTCTGGCTGCTGCTGCCCTGGAGCACCCCACACGGCCACCCCCCACCACGCTGTCTCACCATGTCCAACCCAGCATGCCCTTGGCCAGCAGCCCAAGTTGGCTCACATGTGGCACTGCTGACCAGGCTTCAAACTGGGCAGCCCATCTGTCCATAAACAGCCCAGCATGGACCCCCAGACAGCCAGTTCCCCCCCAGGGGACTGATCACTGCCAGCTGAGGGGGACAGAGGGCACAGCCAGGCATGGCCACAGGCATGGCCACAGGCATTGCATGCTACCATGGCAGCAGGACAAACAGTGACACAGCCAGATCCAGCCCTGTGGGTGTGTTCCCCTGATCAGTGTCACAGGGAGCAGGATCTCCTCCACACAGACATTAGTTTTGGGTTAAAAAGCCAAGACGGAGGTCTCCATGTTTGCCATCCAGGCTCAGCAGGGAGCTCAGGGCCCTGGTGTTACTGGTGTTAGTGGCATTAGCTGGAACATTGCTCCTGGATAGGGTGCATGGGACATATGCTCTTCCCCACTGGCCAGGAGAGCTCAAACCAGGGCAATGGAGATGGAGGTGTCCCATCCCCTGCCCCTGCGCAGGAGCCCCCTGAGGAGAGCCCATTCCTGGAACTGGGCTGTGCTGGTGGAGCCAGAGACAATTCCAGCCTGCAGAAGAGAGATGTGACTTCCCCAGATCTGCTACCTTCTCCCAGCAGAGAAACCATCTTCCACCATAAGCTCAGAGAAGAGGCAAAACCTGAACAAGGACTCCAAAATCCAAGAGATTGGGTCCAAGCAAGTCCAATGGGTCTCTGGCAGGTCTCCTGCCCAGCACAATGGAACAGAGGCTTCTTCTCAGCTGCTCTCTTCAGAAACTTGACCTGGGGTGGGGAAGCCTCTTGTAGTCTGGTCCAGCCTGTTCCTGGGGCTGGGGCTGATGCAGCTGGTGTGGGTCTCCAGTGTGTAAGTTGCTCTCTGGAGGAACTGCAAGAAGTTTTCCTGAACAGAAGCCTCTGAGATGGAAAGACAGAGCTCCTGACCCAGAGGATGGTTAAGACAGCTGCGCCGGAGCCGGGCCAGCTCCTCACGGATTTGGCGGTTCAGCAGCCCATAGAAGAAGGGATTAACAGCAAAGGAGGAGTAGGCAATCCAGGTGACCACCATCTCCCCGTGCCCACCAACCACAGTGCCAACAGTGACAGAGGAGTGCAAGTGGAAAGCAAAGAAAGGCAGCCAGCAGCACAAGAACTGTCCCACAATGAGGACCAAGGTGAGGATGGCCTTGTTGCTTCCCAAAAGGCGATCTGGGATCAGCCTGGGCAGCATCAGGATCCTGGCAGTGAGGATGGTCACTTGGCTGGCGATGGAGTCACATCGGTGCCTAGGTGCAACTGCCTGTGCCGGCACAGGTGCCTGCTGCAGGGACGCAGTCCGGGCCACGCGGTAGATGCTGGAGTAGACAGCAAGGATAATGATGGTGGGCAGAATAAAGCAGGTGATGCTGAAGAGGATCACAAAAACCTTCTTATGAGCCCCAGGGCTCCAGTAGACTGTGCAGCGGCTGGCGCTGGTGGCCCCATTGCCATGAGGCCACGCCACTAGTGCCAAGACAGTGATGAGAACAGACTTGACCCAAATGAAAATTACTCCAGCCACTGCCAGCCTGATGGTCATCTTGACCTCATACCTCAATGGATGGACAATGTAGTAGTACCGCTCCACGCTGATGATAGAGATGGTGAGAATGGAGGCACAGATGAAGCAGATATTCAGGAATATCACGGCCTTGCACTCAGCAATGCTGTAGATCACCCAGTTGAAACAGGAAGAGCTGGAGATGATCCCCAGGGGCATGAGGAAAATGGCTGAGAGGAGATTGACCACACAGAGGTGGCAGACAAAGATGAACTTCTTGAAAAGGGGCGTTTTGAGGATGATGACCATCACCACGATGTTTGCCACCAGGGCCGTGAGAGTGAGCAGGATCATGCAGAAAAGGCCCACCACTTCATGGGCAATGGAGTGCTCGGGGACGGAGAGCAGCTCTAGGCTGTCCGTCGTGTTTGACCCCGTCTGGCTCGGCATCCCCCTCCAGGGCTAAGCCAGCAGCTCTGGTGCCTGGGCAGCAAGGGCTCTTCTCCTGTATCCCAGAGAGGGTAACCCTACCACAACCATGGCTGCTACCTTCTCCTTGCCTGTGGAGATCAGGAGCCTGGCATGAAGGGAAAGAACCAAAATGAAGAAGAGCCACAGAGAAACACAGAGACAAACAGCACACTTCCAAGATGCTGGAGGAGGGAGAGGTAGCCAGTGAAGTCATAGCACCCTGGCCCTCCCAGACCTGGCACCCAGGCTGTCCCCAACCTATCCAGGGATAGCATTGCGAGGTCCTCTGGGCACCCATGCCAGCCTGACACCCCGTCCCCCCTCACCAATAGCACCAATATATCCTGAGGAGAGACAGTACAACTTGCCTGTCCCAACCTTCTTGCTCTGGCCACAAGGGACCCCAGGGTGGGTGGGATTCAGCGCACCTTTGCTCCTGCGGAGATGGGTGATGCTCCTCTCCTCACTGGGGTCCCGCTTGCTGGTGTTGCTCCCGCAGCAGAACCGGGGCTGCCGGCCCTGTGTGCTCCCCCTTCCCTGCTCCCGTCACCCACTCGTCATCCTGTTTGCCTGCAGCCCGCCAGCTGCGGATGGCACCAGCTGTCACTCCCGGCGCTGCCTGCACTGCCTGCACCCGTGGCAGTCCCACAGGGACAGCTGCTGGGTCCTAGCAGCCGGCAGGGGCGCAGGAAGGAGCTCTGTGCTCCCCTAGAATGGCCACCCACTGCACCAGGCATGGTCCTTCCACAGGAACAGCTCAGGTCCCTGGGGCTCAAGGGACAGAGCTACAGGCAGGTCTGCAGCAAATCATCTCCGCTGGCAGATGGATGATCATGGGGCATCAGGATAACACAGCTGGGAGTTGCCCTTCCCTGGTAGCCTGAGCACCCAGACATGTGCTCAAGGGGCACACATGAACACAGAGAAGGGCTTGGCATGGGTGTCAGGCTGGGGTAGGACAGCAGGCATGGCATGAGGCATGGCACTAAAGGGAGGACAGGCACTTGCCCTCAGGATGGACTGATTCCGCTATGCCCAGGCAGGGCACCAGATCTTGTTCATCCTCTGTAGCTCTGATGCCACAGAGTGCCCGTGAGCCATGTGCCATGCTAAGGTAATAACAGCAGCTGGCTCTCAAAGACAACAGCTTTTATCTGAAGGCTTCAGCCCCTCCAAAGCCACCTGTGCCATCCATTCAGGGACCCACTGACATTCTTCCTTATAGCATGCCAGCCTTGCTAGGAAAAAAAGCGAGAGCACTGCTTGGTGCAAGGCACAGTGCTTTTATTCACAGTAAAGCAAGCTGAGTCCCCATGACAGCCTGTCCCTTACTAAGCCCCAGGTGGGGGTGCATGGAGAAGCCAGACTCTGTGCTCTGGGCTGATGGGTGTCACCACCTGGTGCTGGTCCAGGGCCGTGGTGCTCCCAGGCACCCTCAGAAGCAGAGCTGGACAAGGTAGCGGATCCGGCACTGGCTTTCCTGGTAGATGAGGTACTCGCTCTGGCTGAAGTAGGAGTCCTTGTAGGCAGACATGGGGATGGGCTTGCCCTGGCACACCAGCACTTTCTTGCCATCCAGCACCACCTCCACATCCTGTGCAGGATCTGGGCCAGAAGATACCCCACCACCACATCAAACCTGAGATCTGGCCTCTCTCCTGTGCCGCCCTGAGCCCACCACAGCCCCATAGCTGCCACACCCCTCCTGCCCCCAGCTCACCTGGCTCTGTCCGGCCACAGGCCAGGACACTGTCATAGCCAGCAGGAGGCTGACACAGTGTGGGGTCATCACGGGTGATGCGGTAGGGCTTGCCCAGGGCCACCTCCGTCAGGAACATGATGCCAACATTGTCAGATGTTCTCCCCACTGCCATGGGAGAAACGGATGGCAATGATTATTATTATTCTCATCTGGTTGTGCCCCAAGCCACTCTGGGACATAGGGACCAATTGCCATGGCAGGGAAGGGGCTTGGCAAGCCCACAGCTGCCTGGCAAGGAGCACACAAAGGCAGCCAGGCTGACACAGACCCTGTGGGGATCACAAGCAGCACAGTCCATCCCAGGACCCTCACCATAGCTGGCTGATTTGCTGTTCTCAGAGGCGAAGTAGATGCCCTTGCCCACACGCCCGCCTGAGTGGGGCATGATGCGCAGCCCACTCTTCAGGATGGCCGCCACCACCGCCACGTTGGTGCCATGCCAAAGCAGGCGCCGGTGCTCCAGCAGCTCATGGGCCTTGAAACGCTCATCCTGGAGAGATGCAGAGCTAAGGGCTGTTCACAGAGGGACACACGCGTGCCCAGGAGTGGAGGACTGCCACCCACCTCCCCAGTCCAGCCCCAGTGCCTGTTGGGCCAGAGACTGGGAGCCTGTTGGGCCCTGGCCAGCTGGGATGAATCCCCTCTGGGTGAACAAGCCCTAAAGCAATCCCTGGGTGTAACCATGGCTTCCCCACGGTGACATGGGGAGAATAAACTCCTCCTCACCTCACCATCCCGGGCCACCTGCCAGGTGTTGAGGATGCGGAGTTTGTGCCCAGTCTGTGTCACATAGGTTTGGATCAGCTGCCAAGGGGGAAGCAAAAAAGCTGTGTCACTCCACGCAGCCATCTCAGCAATGCCCACGATCTCCCTGGGACACTAGGAACCTTTGGGCTGTCTGCAGGCCTGACATAATTGTTTCCCATTATGGCATGCTGTGGCACAAGCAGCACCTGGTATTCCCGGGAAGCCGGGTCCAGCAGGGAGAGCTGGCAGCAGAGAAGGGCGTAATCCTGATCCAGTGGATGGGCAACTTCTTTCTCTTCCTCCTCCTCCTCCTTCATTTTCTGTGTCTGCAGGCTCTGTGCCAGCTCAATGTCGGCCAGCACCTGGTAGGAACAGAGCAGGGACATTCTCACCACCAGTGCTGGGCACTGTGCTGGGGGACCAGGGCAAGCCCAGCCTCCTGCCAGCAGCTCCTGCCCCACCAGGAAGGGATGTCACACACTATGTGCTCTGACATCTCACCAGCAGCATGTCCTTCTCGGCACGCAGCAGGTCAGGGGAGTTGATGGTGGGTGGTCGTGCCCGTCCAAAGTTGTGTGGGACGATGGTGTAGAAGCGTGAGGAGAGTTCCTCCAGGCGAGTGGCCTGAGGGGGCTGCTCCTTCAGTGCTGCCTCCAGCTCTTCCAGGGCCTCAAAGCCCCTTGCAATCTGCTGCTTGCTCAGCTTCCCCAGAGGCATCTTCTTCACATCTACAGTGGAGGACAAGGTGAACCTGTCCACTCACCCCAAAGCTAGCTCCCAGAACCTCCAGTATTACCATGGGCAAGTGTGGGCACGCAGCATGGGGTGCCCATAGTCTCATCAGGTGCCAGGATATCAGAGGAAATGCTCTAAAATTCATCAGCACCTCTGCTTGTGAACCTCCCCACCTGGACTACCAAGCCCAGCCTATGCCACCCATCAACCCATCACCTCCTACTGATATTCATGGTCTGTGTGGCTCTGCCAAAGATGCAGGGCAGCACCTGCTGCTTGCAGATCTTGTCTCCATCCACAGCATCCACCTGCAGACACCCCACATCAGCTGCCAGCCTGCAAGAGGCTATGACAGCAGAGCACCAGGGCAGCCTGCCTCTGTGAGGAGAGCCTGGTCCTGGGGCAGCAGAGCAATGGGCAGGTGCTGCCTCCATTTTCCATGGCCACCCAGAAGGCCATGTTTCTCATTCAGAATGCCCTCCCACTCCCTTTTAACCCATTAGCCTCGAATCTCTGCCTGCAAGCTGTTGCAGCAAGCCCCCAGATCTCCCTCAAAACCCATCACATCCTTCTGACCCTCTTGGATGACCTGGTGTTCAGTGGGCCAGGAGTGTGATGAGGACCATCCCACCATGGTGACAACCTGGGTGCCTGGAGTACTCACCCTGAGGACAGCCTCCACCTCCTGCTGAGGTGAGGCCCACATCCCGCTCCACCTCAATGAGTGTGTACTTCCCTGGCTGGGCAATGAAGTTCTCCCTTGTTGCCCAGCTGTTCTTGGTCTTCTCTCGAAACTTCTTCTCAAATTCCTTCTTGGCAGCTTCCAGGGAGGCACAGGTCATGATCTTGGACTGGCCCACCTCTCCCTGGCAGTGGACAGCAGTGGTCAGCACCTCCCCTGCTTCCCAACTCCACCAGCCTTATGCTGGTGGAAGCCAGCAGGAACAAGGGGGGCTGTGATAGCAGGGCTGTGGGGCAGTGAGCAGGAATGTGCTGAGACACCAGCTCTGGAAGACACCCCAGGACTTCTTGCTGGGCTGTCAAACTCACGTTCACTGCAGGGACAGTTGTCACGTGCCCCAGACAGTCTGACTATGTTGGGTGGGGATAAGTCCTTGAAGCCCCCCCATTAAAGTGCTCTAGAAGGACACTTGGGCGCTTGCTTTGGGACCAGGGACCACCAGGTTCACCCTCAGTTTTTGGGGTTCCAAAGGCAGGGTGGGGACAGCTGAGGTGTGGGAAATGAGCAGTACCAGAGTTGACTCACCACACGGCCCCAGCGGCTCCAGACACTGTAGGTACCATTACACTCAAGGAGCTGAATGATGAAGAACTTGTTGTTGTTGGCACTGATATTGGTCTGGTTCAGGGTGCAGTCATAGTCCTCATAGACCTGTAGTGAGTGACATGGCTTGGGCTGGAACCTGAGGGCGTTTGAGGAAGGAGAGGATGCAGAAATGTCCCAGTGGGAACACAGGGGGCATCTGCAAGGAAAATTGGGGCTGACCCTCTGTCAACAGGGCAGGTGTTGCTCGGAGACTCCTCCAAGCCTCCCA